AGACTACAACCACATCCAAGAAAGCAGTAACACTTGAATCTCAGTTTTCTTCATGGGGAAGGTGTATCACACAGGAAGAGACTTATCAGCACTTTACAAAAAAAATAACAAACCCCCCCCCCCCAAAAAAAAAACCAAAAAAATAAAAAAAAACCAACCCCCAACATGAAACATTAATAGGAAGAAAAGAATAGGAAATACAAACTCTGCCCTCCAGGGAGTTCTAAAAGAGAACTTCTAGAAAATGCAGGTAAGAAAGAAAAGATGATATAACACAATCAACTATTAAAGTGTCCCAAAGTATCATAGATTTCCTCTAAAATGAGGTAATAAATATCATAGAGGATGGAGAAGACCAAAATATTGGAAGATTGGATTGGAAGACCAAATATCAGGACAGGGACTTAATTTATTAATGCAAATCTTGAAGTTAATTTGAACCCTCTGGTTTACAGGTCTGGTGATATATTAAAACCCTTCCAAGACTTCAGCTTTAGTGGATTATTCTGCCCCACCCTTAACTTCCCTAACCTTTCCAATATGATTTAAGAGGTGCTGGCTGCTTGCTGTACCATATCTTGTATGTTTTTTCAGGATTAGCTAAATACACACCAGGTAATCTGGGGCAATCCTGGAATATAACAGCCTATCTGACAAACACTGAACAAATTCCAGAGTCATAAAAATTCATAGAAGCCATGAAGCCAGGTTAACTGCTCTCTACTGAATACAACTGATATTTTTAATAGCAACATGAACAGGTTTTGAGGCTCTAATTCCAGTGGTCCAAGGGTAGGCTTGAAGTACAACAGGATTTTTTTTTAACTGTGGAGACTTACAAGCCTGAAGGCCTTGAACTTTGTTGCATGGACAGAGGGCTTTCAAAATTAAGCAGTGAATGCTTCAAGCAACTATCCTGACAGATCTGAATGAAAAGCTGATTTTATGAACTCTAAGTTGGGCTGCAGAATGGCTGGTTACACATAGCACATCCATTAAGGATAATCAGAATTTGACAACATGCCGGTAAGAAAGTCAAAAAGTATCAGACTCACACCAAAGTGCCACATTTCTCCCCTTCTCTCCTCACAAGAAGCCACCAATCTCTATGTAATACACTAATAATAAATATTCTGATGCAAAGCTATCAACCCAAAACTCTCTTGGGTAACATTATATTTAAAAATGACAGGATAATATGCAGCATATGTTTTTCCAATGAGATGAACAAAATACAGCTTACAAAGTATCTTTTTAATGGATGCTTTGGTTTATTTTTTTTAAGCTAATACATTCTATAGGGACTTAATGGGATTTTTCAAAAGTAATTAGACAACTAAAATGAGACAACTAAGTATACAGGTGCAACAAAACTCCTGCAATGCATTTTAATGCTTTCAAACATCTGATTTTTAGTGTAAGATTACTTCTGCCTGCTCTGTTACTGAATTTTCTTAGTTAGCTGCAGAAAAATGAAGCCCACTGTACTGGGTATGGCTGAGATGGAGTTAATTTTCCCTACAAAAGGCCTCCCAGTGCTGTGCTTTGTACTGGCAGCTAGAAAACTGTCAATAACACAGTAGAGTTTTGGCTGTGCTCACACAGCATCAGTGCTGTCTCTCCAACATTCCTCACTATCACCAGGAGGCTGCGGGCTGGCAACATCCTGGGAGGAGACACAGCTAGGACAGGTGATTAAAAAAAAATAAATAAAAAGCTAAAAGAAAGAAGGGCATTTGTTATTTAAAACATTTCTCTTCCAGAGCAGCCCCTATACATATTGAAACCCTGCTTCCCTAAAGGGAAAGTAAAAAATAAAATCTTCTGCTTCCCCTTGCTTCTGCATGAATTATTTCTGCTTTAATAAACTGCCTCTACCTTGACCCCCGAGGCTTTTTCCACCTTTCTCCCCCAAGGAGAGGAATGACAGAGCTGCTTGGTGGGCAACTGGCATGCAGTCAAGGTCAATCCCACCAGCACCATCTATGCACAAACAGGCTCTTTCATAATGCTAGCACACATTTCATCACAGATCATGGTGCACAGTCCTGAAAGTGCACAATCCAAAAAGTAAACAAGCTCAATTATTTCAAAATACCTCTCCATAATTTTTATTTTTATTTTTTTTTGCATATAAAGATAAAATTGGCAAGGACTAGAAGGCTGGAATATTTTTGCTTTTATTTGTCATTTTGAGCTGACATTTTCCACCTTAAGAGACTCAGAGATATATCAACACCAAAGAAAGTCCAACCCCACGCTGAAGCAGGAGAAAGGTGTGCAATCCCAGCCAAGTCATTTGACAGCTGGGAGGACACACTGGCAGCACTGGGGCTGACACAGAGCACCCCTTGCAGCCTCATGAGCCATGAATCTGAACACGGCCCAGCACTGCTAGAGAAGGTACTGCACTCAGATTTTACCTTCTTAAAAGCTGTGCTACACTCAGTAATAAAAAACCCACCATGCATCAGATCTGCTGCTGTGCTGAACAAAGAGATGCGAGCCTAAGACACAGACTGTGATATTCCAAAAACAACAAGTCACATCTGGTTAATCTTGTAATATGATGAACAGATTTTGTTGCTTGTGTTCGGTCCTAACAAGGTATCAGATATTACAGAATACATCTAAAGCAACAAATTAGACATGCAAAAAAATTATGTAACAGTAGTTGATGGCACCTGGGTTTTAGAACAGCGTCAGAGGATATATGCGTCAGGGCATTCCCTCTAACAACTGGGAGAGAATTTTTAGAAACAGCATTACAGCATCCACTCCTTCATATTCAACCAAACAATGAGAGGGTTCTTCCTGCCCCCTCCTTTCCCCTCCTGCTGCACCTCAACTGCAGGAGCAAGGACGACCAGAAAGTCAGCAGGTCTCTCCTCCTGCATTGCAGGGCTAACACTGGACAGCAAACAAACTTGCACAGAAGCTCTGGACATGCTGTTCTGATTCAAAGGCCGAAATTTTACCAATAGGCTTATGATGACATTTAGAAAGCAGCAAAGCAATACCTCGAGAATTACAACACATTAATACATAGCAAGTGAAGAAAATATCTTGAGGATTGTATTTTCAGCATCAGTTTAGCTCCCCATGTGCGGGGCCAAGTCAGCTGTGGAAATCAAACATAAGACCCCTCTCTGTTCCCCAACAATGTATCTGCTTTAAGTAACAATAAGTTAATTGCTCTCAGCATTTGGCAAATACCAGTCCATGTGACAGACTCTTCCGCCTCAGCTATGCCACAGCAGTTTTGCAAAGTTCTTGAAACAGACAGGAAACAACTGGGGCACGTTTTCAAGTGAAACAGAGCAGCATCAGTCTGATTCCTCTTTTCTGAAGGGTTGTTTATTATTAACGTATGGCTGACATAATCTTAGGCAGGGAGCAATTTAGCTCTCTGTGATCACACTAACATTTCACACTTAGGAATGACTTGGACAAATAACATGTATAATGCTCCCCACAGCTCCCAACAAACCACTTTTTTAACGGGTTTCCAAAGCCTGGATCCTTTCTGCTGAGGGGCTATGTGCTTTACTGGAAGATTAATTACATGGCAGCTTGGGCTACCAGTGTCTATTTAAGACCAAAAGCATTCTCCTACTTTTTTAACATCTCATATAGCAGTTTTACGAGAAGTGGTGCTAGAGCAGAAATATATATGATAAAAATAATTCTACTTATCAATTATTTCACCTTACCATTAACATCTAAAATATGCTGAAGGCTAACCTCCATCTAACACGGCGTGCTCTGAAAAATTAAAACATTAATACTAACAAGACAAGCTATTAACTTAAAAGAAAAAAGAGAAAAATGGAAGGACGAACCTCTGCCTGGTTAGGGCGCAGGTAACAGATTAACTTCTAAAGTTCAGCTTAATCTAGAGCTGCCTCACTAGCGCCTGTGCGATCAATAACATCAAACCACGAGCCGGCAGCATCATCGCTGTGTTCCTTTAGTGCAGAGCGGAGACAAAGAACAGCGCAGCGCACACCCCCCACGCTCGGCAGAGCCCAGCGGCGCCGCAGCGCGCCCAGCCCGCCGCCCCTCGCAGCCGGCCGGGCACGGACCGAGGGCTCCCCGCCGCCCCGCACGGCACCGCCCGCAGCGGGAGCCGGGCCGGGAGGCGGCGCGCCACGTCCCCGGGCCCGCCCCGGCCCGGCCGCTTGCATAATGCGGCAGCCGCGGGACCGCCCCGGGCCAGGGCTTTAGGCGGCGACGTAAACAAACAGAGCCGCCGGCGCTCCCCGGCCCGCAGCCCACCAAGCCTCCCCACAGGGCGACAGCCGGGGCCCGGCCGGGCAGCGCCGGGAGCGCGATACGCCCGCAGCCCGGGCAGCACCGCAGCCGCCCCCGGGCGCACGGAGCCGCGCTCTTCCCGCCGCCTCTCAGAGAACCTGAGGGTGGCGTCCCGGTCCCCGGACGACGCGCTCCTCCCCCGCGTCCTCTCAGATAATGCACCGGCCCCGCGACGAGCGCGGCACCGCTCCCTCAGCGTCCTCCCTGCGCAGGGCTCGAACAAACCCTGCTCAGCCGCACCAACCACCCTCCGTCCCCTCCGCCGCCGCGCAGCCCCACCGCTACACGCGGCCGGCGGCACCGACTGACCTGGCAGAGCGAAGCGGCGCTCCGGGCCCCCGTTCGCTTTGTGCGGGGCTGCGGACAGCGCAGCCCGGGCTCCCCGCCCCTCCTGCCGGGGCCGCCGCCCGGGGCCGCCTGACGGGGGTGGGGAGGGGGCGGCGCGGCCCCAACCGGTTCCAGCTGCCCCCCGCCAGCCACGTGACCCCGCCGCGGCCCCGCCCGCCCCGCCATGGCCAATGGGAGCGCGGGAAGGGCCGGGGGCCGGGCCCGTTCCTCGACAGCGGCGGGGCAGGAAGGCGGGTCCGGGGCGGGGCTGAGGGAGGCGTGAGGAGTGCGGGGAGCGGGGGCAGGCGCAGGGGGGCTCTGAGGGCACGGGGGGTTCGGGGGCGGCTTGCGGCCGCCTGCGCACGGCGAGGTAGCTCTGCCCTACCCACCTCTCCCGAGGGCCAAGCACCAGCGCTTCCCCACGACATCCCCCCGGTACCTTCCTCAGAGAGCGCGGCGCCGCTCCCCCAGCGTTCTCCTGACACCGCAGCGCGACCCGACCTCCTCCAGCCTCCAAGTCCTCGGGAGCGCGCATCGACCGCCCCTTGCCGCCGTCGCCACCACACACCCCTACCGCACTCCCGCTGGCCCCGCGCCCCCTCGGCCGGCGGCGTGCACTGACCTGGACGAGCGCTGCAGCCGGTTGCCCACCCCTTGGTGCGGGGCTGCGAGCGGCGCTTCCCGGGCTCCTCTTGGCCTGCCCGGTGCCGCTAACAGGGCGGGGGAGGCAGGGGAGGGGGCGGCGTGACCGGCAGCCGGATCCTGCTGCCCCCGAGCGCACCGCGGAGCGCGCGGCCACGTGACCCGCCCCGGCTGACGCGTCACTCTGCGGCCGCGGCCCCGCCCCTCCCACCGCAGCCAATCAGGGCCTGGCGCGCAGAGCGGGAGGGGCGCGCGCCGTTCCCTTGAAAGCCTTGGCGCTGAGGGAGCACGGTCCCACAGGGGTGGGAGGCGGTGGGGACGGTGGTTGTGAGGGCTGGGTAGGGCCTTTGCTGAGGCGAGTCAGGTTTCTGCTACCACCCGCACACTCTTTGAGGTCACCCCGCCTCAATCCGTGTCCTCCATACCCAGCTTGGGAGTGTAAGAGTTGCCCTATGGATAGGGAACTCTTGCTGCCTTAGGGTTTACTATGGTTTAAGCTGGCTGTAAGCCTATAGAACCAAGAGCACCATGGGGAATTATTTTTTTTTGTGATATAAAAGGGCAGGGTCTATGACTCTCTTTAAGAGCTTTAATCTCCCTTATTTTCATTGGCCTTTTGTCCCCGTGTGCTTTCCTGAGGCCCTGCGTGTGTAGGTGATCCCAGCTCTGCCCTCAGGCTTCAGCCTGTCACCCACTAAAACGTGGGGTGACAGGAGCCAGTGTGCCCTGCTCCTGACACATCTGTCTTGGGGTTCCCAGGGACACCCCCTGCTCTTGTGCAGGCTCTGTCTTTTTCTCTGTGTCCATGCCCAGCCACATGAACCAAAGGGCTGTCATCCGTGGTACGGCTCAAAACACATCTTCGTGGCATTGGTGCCAAGGCAAACCAAACTGAGAATGTCCATACAGGCAGGACAGAATGTTAAGTGTGATACTTACATTTGTTTTAGGACAGATGTTGTGTGAAGACCTTGGGGAGACTTGCTGCGTTAAAATGTATTGCTGCATTTGGGACCACAACCTTACGTCCTTCCTGAGACCTGATTTTACAACAAGAAGGTTGGCCCACTGGAACTCACCCAACAACATATTAGCAGATAAAGAGAAACTGTTTTTTCTGTGTTTTTCTTGTGCTCTGTTTTGTAGCTGAGCGATGAAATTGTGACAATTTCACCTGTACCTCTCTCTGTGCAGAGAAACCATTTATTCTGTCTTGTGTTGGGAGTTAGTGCTGTGTTAGGGATGCTACTCTGTGTTGTCCCTTAATCTGCCATTTAAATACAGGACTATTTTCCATTTATTCATGCCTTGCAGATCTAGCTGTGTTCATAAGTAATTTGTGATATTCCACTGAGTGTTGTAGGGAAAACTAATGTTGATATTTGATTTTGTATATCAGAAAAGCATATAATATAATCATATAATGCATCTAAACTGCTGAGATCTCTATGTTAGTGCTTCAAGGAAAGAAAGGTAGTGGGAAGCATGCAGTAAAAGGAAATTATAGCTGAAAGTAGCTCATTTTTAAGTGAAAAAGATAATTCCTCTGCGTAAGGAGGAGGGAGGGTTGGTGGAAAGAGCTTGTTGGAAAGTGATTCCCTTGTTAAACACAGATGTGGACTACTCCAATTACAAACCCTTGGTATTTAGGAAAACATTTGGAGCCATCACTTCTGGTGTATTCACTACTGAGTGAAAAAAGAGGATAAAGGAACTTTAGGGAAAACAATCTTTAGAAAAGTGATTTTCTGCTTGTTTTCTCTTCCCTGTTTTTAAGATTTATTAGTTCAAGGAATTTGTTGTAAAGCAGGGATAGAACTGAGCACTTTCAAATGTGTTTCAGTGCGTCAAACTTCAAAAATTAGATGTCATGCCAGGCATATTATAAAATTGTACCATTATTTTTTTTTAAAAAAATAGAAATTTAACACTTGGTCTTATTCAGCCCAAATGTTAATTTTTTTTAAAAAGGGCTTTATTTTGTCAAACTAATATTGCATTTCCTTCCATAACTCCCTGTAGATGAAAATTACAATTTAGTCCCTAAATGGATTCAAGAAATACTTGTGTTCATTTTATTAAAGATGCACATCAGTGTGGAACAAGCAGGAAAAGGATGGGATGGAAAATACTGTTTTATGTTGACTTACTTAACCTGAAGAAAAGTCTACGTTTAATTAAGCTTGCCTCCACACTTTCTTTTTTCCTCCCTAAGGAGTTGCTTCAATATGGTTGGGTCAGATAAAGTCATACTTTGCCATGATGCAGCAGACAAGTCTCAGCTACTCTTTAAGAGCATATAAAACTGTACAGCAATTAGAATACGTGGATCAGTTCATAGAATTCTTCTTAAATGTCTGTCCAAAAAGTTAAGGCTGATGATCTGCTTTCCTTTTTTATACAGAAAAAAAAAACCAAAACATCAAAAAACAAGGGAAATGGGGTTTTATAGTATGAAACCTGCAATGAATTAAGGTGCTGTTTGCAAGAGTCCCAGAGATCCAGAAAGACAATGTTACAAGATCTGTTTCCAGTGGGCAAGGACAAACTCTATTTAAACCATGTGTGCGCCTGTTGGAAAACATGTTTTCTTATTCAATAAAAATTAACAAGGTGAATGAGAATTGCTAATACCTAACCAGAGGCTAAAATGTTGTTTCTTTGTTCTGACAGTGACACTGAAGTGATGAAGTCCCTGAGCAGAAGTGAAAGAGCCAAAAGAAGATGCTGAAGGTTCATGGGCAATCCGCCCTCTAACAGTATCTTGCTCCCTGCTGTGGCATTATGGAATGAAATTGCTTGGAGGTGTTGTGTGCTGTAGGTGGAATACAAAAGCAGCCCTGGGGCTGTACTGGCTGAGATGTGAAGCCCAATGGGACTGCAACAATTTTTATAAATAATGAGACAAATACTTGCCCAAGTCCAGGAAATAAGTGGTTGAGGCTGATGTTTACAACACAGTGGCAAACCTATACTAAAAAGGCATTAGGAAATACCTTAAAGGTTTTATGTCTGTTTCTGTAGCCAATGGAATATTTTCTTCAGCTGCCAGAATTATAGATTCAACCTATAATCAAGCTTCATTGATACAAGTAGCTATAAAGATTGTGAACATCAAATTACAGCTGTGCTTCCTCTTTCACAGCATGCATTGAGATCTAGTGATCTGCTTTTACTGACTCCAGTGCTGATGACAGCTGAATATTCAGATGAATTTTACTCCTTATTTTACTGCACTTGATTTTTCTGAAGTTGTTCTGGGTCTGGTGGGAAATTGTGAATAAAAATAGCTGGTAAAACTGTGCAAATGAAGGCACAGCATTAGGCATGCAGTGTCAAATTAATGTTCTTTGATCTTTTGTAGAATCACTTATAGTTGGAAATACTCTTCTGACCTTTTCTCTGGCACTGAGAATATTGCTGTGTCACTCCCTAATGTGAAATCTGGACAATTTACGGGCACTAAAGAAAAGTGATGCTAAGGGATGTGAAAAATAGCAAGAAGGAACCATGCTGTCAGCATGGCAATAGCCTCTTGGTCTCATGGAGACTGATGAGAAAAAATTATTAGAAAAGTTGCCCATTGTGCAATGACATTTTTTCTGTAATGTTTATTGTAGTACAGAATAATGTATTTTTCTCTGTGGGCTAGTCAACAGTTTGTCACCAGAGGCAGGGTGGCCAGCAGGTCAAGGGAGGTCACTCTCCCCCTCTCCTCTGGTGAGACCCCACCAGCAGTGCTGTGTCTAGTTCTGGGCTCCCCAACAAGAGAAGGGAGAAATTCCTGTTGCAACAAGTCCAGAGAAGGCTATGAAGATGCTGAGAGGACTGGAGCACCTCTGCTATAGAGACAGGATGAGAGAGCTGGAGTTACTAAGCCTGGAGAAAAGAAGGTTCCAAGGAGATTTTGGAGTCCCTTTCAGTCCTTTAGGGACTTCAGAGCCTGAAAAGAGGCTACAAGGGTAGCTGGAGAGGGATTTTTTACAAGGGCGTTTTGTGATGGTGAAATGGTTTGAAACTGAAAGAGGGGAGATTTAGACAAAATGTTAGGAGGGAAATTCTTTAACTGGAGGTTAGCAAGACACTGGAGGCTGGAGGGAGTGGTAGATGCCCTGTCCCTGCAAGGGCTCATGGCCAGAATCATTCTATGTCTGGGACATTGATCTATGGATTGTTTAGCGTTTTTTTCCCCAATTTTGATTCTTCTGCGCCCTCCCTCTCATCCTCCCAGTCCCATTTTTTTTGTGGAAAGGAAAGTTAAGACATTCTTCAGTGAGAATTAATGCTTTTGTCATATACTCTAGAGCTTTGCAAAGTGCCTGATGAGAGCATCACTAAATACAGAGTAACAAATAACAATTATAAAGTATCATAAATATAAAATTAAACTCTCTCATGGCTACTATTAACAATAAAAAAATTATAGCAGGAAAAAGAAGGGTTCACTCCAATCAAAAATTCAGTCACTTTCAAGCACTGTTAACTATTATGTATAATTTGGCATTGGTGATAGACAACGTTGCAACAAAAAGTTTTTTAAAAAAAACCCACAAGACCCCAAGTGCCAATAGAATATTGCAGGCATTAAATTTTGATTTGAAAACATTTGAGACATGCTGTGATTTAGTCTTGAGTGTGTCAGCATGACTTGCTTATTGATCTGAGCTGGTTTATAATTTCTGAAATGAAATATATATAATTGGGGGGTTGGTTTCGTGAATTTTTTTCTTTAATTTTGGGGCTTTTTGATTTGGTTGGTTTTGGTACTGGTGGGTTTGTTTGTGTGTGAAACACTTGAAGGATTCAAGTAGCACACAACCACAGCACCACATTTAAACTGGCCAAAGTCATTTGCAAATGGGAAGCTTCTAAGGTTTTAATATAACTAGAATAAGTTCTATACTCAGGCCTTTTGTATATAAATATAAAACAGAGGTTATATGCGTAACTTTGTTTTACTTTTGTAAATATGAAAATTTTGTAAACATTTTGTATGTGTGGTGTTCTGTGAACTCCTAGCTCTGCTTATGTGCCAATTACAAGCCTTCTCTTGTATTTTTGCACAAAATCTTCTTGTGTTACTATCTCTACCTTGTTATCTCTGGAACTGTACTCCTGTGCTACCTTTCCCTGCAGTACCCATTTCACTGTGTAAGAGACAATGAAAATGGTCAGAAAATAAAGAGCAGTTGTGGAATATGGCACAGATAATGTTTTTGTTATTTTTTTTTTTTTAATCTCGAGAGAAGGGAGGAACACCTTGAGGTAAGGAGAGACACAGCTTCCTATGACTGCAGGAAGGTTTCACTCTGCTGTCATTAAAAATCCCATTTCAAAGGTCATGTTTGTGTTTTAAATGAAATGTGAGGCTGAACTTTATGCTCTGTCAGATAACAGTAGCAGTGATTCAAGTGCATCCTTTGAATTCTGCAGTGTCGGATTGTGGTGGGGTGGTGCCCTGTGCTCAGTGACCTGTGTGAACACCAAAGGGCCCAACAGGGCCTGAAATTTGCTACTTATTGTCCATTGGATCTCTGTATTTCCAGACTCAATATTTCTTGAAGTGTGCCTCTACTGAATAGATCAAGATGGAGAAAGTAAATGGGACAAATCTAATCTAATGGGGAAAATGTTAGCTTTTCCTGTCCTCCACCACTTGCACTTCTCCTCCATCTGCCACACATACTTATGATGGCAGAGAAATGTGTTTTAAGTTTCAGTTATTGAAAGTCTTTAAAAGCAGACTGAAATGTCATCTTCCTTTTTATGGTTATTAAGTAGGTATCAATTCCCATGTTTACTGCAACACCCAAAGTTTACTGCACTGTTGTTCCTGGAAATGCAGCCATAGCACAGAGACAGTTTCTATCTTGGGAGCAAAGGTCAGCTTGAGGAGAAGTTGAGGGTGTCTGTGCCTTAAGCCAGCCTAACAACTAGCTGCAGCATTTTGGCTCTGCAACACCTGCTCCTGCACTCTTACCTGCCGTTTGTACTCTCCCTGGCCCTTGTGCAACCTTTCACTGAACTAGGAGAGTTCTCTGTCAGAAAGTGGGGAGGTTATGCTCTGGGTTTTGTTTTGTTGCTGGGTGGTTGGTTTTTAATGAGGTTAGTTCTGTGTGGAGTCAGTGAGCTGAAACAATTCAAGCTCAGGATGGACGAATGTTGGAGATGTCTTGGTTTAAGTGGGGACATCAGCAGGCAGAAGCTGAGCTGTCCTCAGCTTTTAGGAAGCCGCTTGTTGTGACGAAGAGCAGCTCATGCAGATTTATCACTTGGTGTTTAAAACAGAGGGTGAGCCACCTCAAAGGGGACTTCTGAGGGGAAATGTGAGAACATGTCACTTACTTTGTGCTTACTCTGTATTCTTAGCTCTCTCTGTTGTGCTCAGCCAGTAACTCTCGTAAACAAAACATTCCTAATCTGCCCACAGCATTGTAAATATTAAAAAAAAAAAAAAATATTATTTTTTTTAAATTTTAATAAGGTTAATAGGGTACAAACCAAGAAAGCTTTTTGAGTAATTCTGACTCTTATTCTCTTGGTTGGGAAGAAGAAAGAGCTCTCATTTTCAAACTTCTGAGGATAGATATGGGTGTATGTAACCTTAAAAATGACAACATCCTTTGCTGAGTCTGACAGTTCTCCATGTGAACCTGTTCACAAGTTTGCCATTTACCTTTTAGTCGAAGCTTTAAAAGTTAAGAGCAACCACTATGAAAATGCAAGATCAGTGATAAAAGACACATTGTACAGCTGAACAATGTGAAGCATTTGTGTGACAGCGAAAACTGGTTTATCAGGTTCACTGCAGGCAAGTACAGATAAACTCTTGGAACACTGCAAAATCTGTTGGAGTATTGGATGGATATTCTCACAAAAAAAAATTAAAAAGAGGAGTACCAGGACCAAAGGCAGCAAAATAAGAGCTGCAAAGTCTAGGCTGTAACTGGTGTGAGGTAGTGAGAACTCAAAGCCAGCCTGTTGGTTGATGTGAACACTCTTTTATGTGGAAAAAAAGCCCAGAGAAAAGCACTGAAAATCCTGCCCAGCTGCTCTCAGCCATGGGAGCAAAACACATCCAAGTGTGCTGGAGTACTGGCCTGGTCCCAAGCCTGTGTGCATGGGCAGCACAGATAAAGCACAGACAGGCCCCAGACAGATAAATGACTGATTAACTAAAATGTGTGAGCCTCTGTCCTGGTGCTGCTGGCAGCTCTGCTAGTGAGATTGCAGCTGCAGAGCTCAGCTGCTGCTCACAATCCAGGGAAACTGCTTTTTGCTGGAAAAACTGGAGAAGGGCAAAACCTCCATGCTGTATTGCAGCTTGTCCTCCAGGGACCTGACCCTGCTGAGGAGCTGGGTGAAATAACGATTAAAAGAGTCCATGGGGAAGGCTCCCAGTGAGGAAGAGCAGTGCTGCAGTCCCAGGCTGACTGAACCCACACCAGCACCCCACAGAATGCAGCAGGTTCCCTGTGAGTGCTACTGGCAGGAAAAGGGGGTACATTTCTGAGGAGGCAGAAAGTATCTTATTGTTGCACCTTGCAGTTCTCTGAGCTGCCCAAAAACTTCTCTGATTTGCAGGGAGGTGATCTGAGGCACACACCAATGCTGTTAGCAATTGCCTTGGGCTCAGACTGTGTTACAGAGAGGCTGCTCCACAAACAGCACCCACCTACTCCCAAGGTAAAATAGTATTTGCCTTTAAATTCTGATAGTATTGAATTATGGCCAGTTAGGCACTATACAAAACTTTCATATTTCTAAACTACAGATGAATGGGTAGCATTGAGGAGTAAAATGAGAGCACAGAAATGATCTCAGTATTAATGGCATGCCTGTGGCGTTTTCCTGCTCTCTTCTAGAACAAGATGCAGCTGTAATTATTTCTGCTGTTTTCATTCAAAGTATTGATCCACAAATAGTTATAGCCCTCAAGAACTGAACCAGTTTTTAAGGTTATTAAACCAGAGTTCCAGTATCCTGAGGACTCAGAACATAAGTTGTGTAAAAGGATAATAAACTCAAAAGACTTTTTTTGGAGACTAAACATTCACCCTTGCTCTCTGGAATTAGAATCACAGAATGGTTTGGGTTGGGAGGGAGCTTTAAAGAGCACAGAATCATAGCATGGTTTGGTGGAAAGGGCCTTTGAAGACCATCTCATCCTGCCATGGGCGGGGCACCTTGCACTAGATCAGGGTTCTTAGAGCTCCATCCAAATTGGCCTTGAACATGGGGCATCCACAACTTCTCTGGGAAGCTTCCTCCAGTGCCCCACTAATTCTTGATGTCAAATCTAAACCTACACTACTTCAGTTTAAAATCATTACCCTGTGCCCTGTTATTACAGGCCCTGGTAAAAGGTCTCTCTCCATGTTTCTTACAAGCCTCCTTTAAGTATTGAAAGGCTACAATAAGGTCTTTCAAATTAATGAATACTGAGAATCCAAGAGCAGAAACCTCTTTTTCAGCAGATCTCAGGACTATGTGCATGCAGTCAGAATCCGTGGAGATTCTTAGATGCTGACTGAAATGAGAACTCTTCTAGGGAACGGGTGTATGAGGTACCTGCAAAATCCCAGGGATGGAATTATTGGGAGGGTTTTGAATGGAGCAGGCTGATTCTGAGACAGGAGTCTGCCTCGCCTCAACAGACTGTTAGGTGAGCTTTCTAATTCCTTTATCCAATGGATCTTCTACAAAGGATCCTGAACCAAACCAAGATCAGGCTGAAGCAAATCAAAGTAATTGAAAAGACAGTTAATTAAACAGGGTTTGACACGTTCTGAAGCACAGTTTGTGACTTGTGCATAGGAACTATCACACCAGTGTGAAGTAGAAATAGAGTTTCTGTTTTCAAACCCTCTAGAGGACCAAAGGGAATAATTTAATTAAAGCAGGAAAGGAAATGGAGTCACAAAAAAAAAAATAGAGAGACAAAATTCCTTGAAAATAATACACATTGGGAAAGAGTACAACTTAGATCCAAAGCAAGGGGAACTGACCTTAAAATGTTGTGACTACTCTGTCACTTATTTCCTGTTTATTTCTCTTTGCTTTGTTTTGTAACATGCTCCAGACTTTTAGAATTTTCTGATATAAATAAAGAGGTATGCTTTTTTATTCAAATAACTTCCCACACAGCAGATGTTTCTACAAAAATAAGTATTCTGAAAATCCTTTTTTTTTCAACAAGGAAAGAATTTTTCAAACTACTGTAGAAATAAAACAAAGATATCTTGTTTTTCCAGCTGATGAACAAAACACCTGCACCACTCAGAGATGGTTTTATATTTATTAACTGAGTTGCAGCACCTTTCACAAAATGTTTGAAAATTAAATATTACAGATTCTGGAGTAGAAAAAATTTTGTGAGCACTTCTTTCCATGTGTGTTTTAAAGACTAACTTTGTGCAGCAGGTTTTCCCTCAGAAGTGGCATGTGAGCTCTGCCTCTTCCATCCTGCCTGTGCACCTTCTGTCCTACGTGACCAAAATCCTGCTTTGCACCCCTGGGAGAGTAAGTGGACAAGATGGTGCATGGCTTTTCCAGATCTCAACAAGAAAACTCCAAGAACAAGTGGCATAATAAAACAGACATTGTAATACAGTAGAATGAAAATAGGAATAAAGATAGCCAGCAGATCCTGAATCCCTTTCAGGTGCTGGGAATCTGGCTAGCAAATAGCACAGGACAGCCTCATGATGAATTTTGCCATGGCCTTGCTCCTTTGTAAATACAGTCCAAAACCAGTGTATGGATTCAGAATGTACTGGAAAGTAGGAAAATACAAACACACTGCCTAGATAAGTAAACCTTGACTTTTCTCAGGGTACTGGGAAAAAGAAATTAAGCATGTTATAAAAATAAAGCAAAATTATTACCAGTTGGGAGGATAGCAGGGAGAGGGACTT